GAAAAGGTTTAGCTGTTTAAGATGCAAAATTATAACTTGTATTTAAAATCATGTTGATGTGTTTGCATTTGGCTATGACTGATTTTAACACAACTTTCATTATTTATCCCGTTCCCAGTGAACTTTTAGGGTTTCATTAAAAAAAATTCAGTTGACCACCAGTGAATCCCTATTTCTTCATTAGAATAAACGTACATATTTCAGAGTGCTACTGTTGTTGTTGTTTTTAAACTCCTAGGAATAGTAGGAGCTGCCACTCTACAGTATCCCCCCCTTTTCCTTTCTTTTTTGAAATATTCATCTGGCAACCTAGTGCAGAGGTCAAACAAATGATCCTCTTCCCGCTGCCAAACGCCTGTTGATCTTGGTGTGAGCAGAAGGCCTAAAGCTACAAGACATGCTACACTGAAATCACAGAGCTAAACAGCCTCTGCAGTTTGTTTTCAGTTGCTACGATGGACAAAAACCGTATGCTAAGGTCAATGGCATTCTTTGCTTTGTCCAGGAGAATCTGAAATCCGGACAACGATGGCTTTCTCCTTTGGCTAGGAACGCCAGCGTGCTGTGCTGCTGGCTTAGGGACGGTGGGATTAGATACAGAGTCATGATCCTAGACTTTTGAATCAAAGGTTCTTCCTGCCCCCTGCTGAAGACAGTGCAACTCTTTGCATCCATAGTAGAGAAAGTTGCTGCTGATACATTCATAGGGGTGGGGAGGAAATTTGATTCAGCTCACATTTAAAGGCAAAGCTACCTAAATTGCACTTTCTGAAACAACAGGTGAACTAAAGCAAAAGCTAGAACTGAAGATTTGCACCGCCAAATTTTGCAATGCAGTTCTCCATCCGAATGATGCACACAAAAATGTATATGCTAGTTAAAGTCACATGCCAAAAAATGCACTACATCAGGAGAAATCCTTTGGTGAGAGTGTGTACTTTGGGCAGAAATTCACACTAAAAGGCTGATGAATCTGCATGAGGACTTTAAAAAAATGGCAAGCTGATATGTAGGACTGCATGAGGACTTTAAAAAAAATGGCAAGCTGATATGTATTAAATTTACGGCATGTAATGCCTTAAAGGAAAACATTATGAAAATGACTTACAGGTGGTACATGACCCCAGTCAAGCTAGCAAAAATATACCATTTGCCTGATAACAAGTGTTGGAAATGTAAAGAGATTGAAGGTACTTTTTACCACCTTTGGTGGACATGCCCGAAGATCAAGGCTTTCTGGGAAATGATATATAATGAAATGAAAAAGGTACTTAAATGTACTTTTCTTAAAAAACCAGAGGCCTTTCTCTTGGGCATTGTCGGCCAATTGGTGTCAAAGAAGGACAGAACTTTCTTTATGTATGCTACAACAGCAGCAAGGATACTTATCGCAAAGTATTGGAAGACACAAGATCTACCCACTCTGGAAGAATGGCAGATGAAAGTGATGGACTACATGACATTGGCTGAAATGACGGGCAGAATCCGTGATCAGGGAAAAGAGACGGCGGAAGAAGAATGGAAGAAATTTAAAACCTACCTTAAGGACTACTATAAACTTGATGAATGTTAGAATGTCAAGGTTTTTAGAAAGAAAGGGTTACAGCGATATAAGATTAGACTAAAGGAAAGATTAAGATGAAAGAGGTTGGAAAAATATTTAGAAGTTGCTAAAAAATTATGGACATTGGGATGCAGAAAGGGGGGGTATGGGGGAGTCCCGGGAAAGAGGTTTATGAAAAAAATGTTATGAAATTATACATGTTTGTATGTTTTTTTTTTGGTTGTTTGTTTGTCCTTAAAAATTTGTAAAACCAATAAAAATTTTATAAAAAAAAAAGATATGTAAACATGGAGAACTGAACACAAGGCAGGAAAAAAATGAGCAAGGAAGAGAAACTGCATTTTACAGTTCTGCCCATCCCTAATTGAAAATCACGTGTAGGCAATACTGCTGTGGGAATAAGTACACAGCCATTTCCAGCCAAGCAACTAACACAGCTCTGATGATAACTTGAGAACTGTGAACAGGCAAAGGGGAAAAGATTACACACAAACACACCTGTTTATATAATCATTTGGATGCAACAAATAAATTCAAGATATTATCCAACCTCCAGAGAGGTCCATTATGCCTCAAAGCTTATCTTTCATCCCAAAACAAAATTCCTATCATTTCTTTCTTGGGAAATCAGTGAGGGATGAGGTCACAATGCAAATGGACCAATTTTATTGGGAACATTTCTTTTCATAGACTAACCCGTCCTGGGGCCTTTGATCAGCTGCTCTGCGCTCTAGTACAAAAGCGAGGTATGTAACATCGAAAGAAAGAAAGCCCTAGTTTGACTGAAAGCGTATGGGTGAAAGATGGGGAGGGGTGAGGGACATGCCTGAAAGCCCCACCTATTGCTGACCATGTCTGCTCCACTTTTAGGCCTTCTTGTGTCTCAAAGGGATTCTAAGCATGTTGGTCAAGGTTCCTGATCTCAACACAGGAAGGTCTGAAACTCAAGGCACACAGGGAACATTGGTGTCAAGACCTGCATGCATGTCATTACCCTCCCCACTTTTGAGCCAGTGAACATCTGAATGGAGCTCAAATGAACCAGCATTGATGAGCCAGTAGAACTTGGTCCAGTTCCAGCATCTGATACAAGTGTGATGGAACTGACGAAGTGGGCTCTACTCCAAGACGATCCTGGTGTCTCAGTAAATCTGTCACAATAAATATGATAATCTTTATAGCAGAATAGAACTTACTGTGGTTTGGACCAAAAGATTACCAAAGATTTATAATAGGGTACAGCTTGGAAGCAGAGGCAGACCGCTGGGAACAGAGGAGGAATTGCTGAACGCTTGAATTCAGGAGCCTTGGATTCACCATGAAACTTTTAATGTGTAGCAGATTTAACCAACGTCATGATCCCCAGGCCATATATGGCAGGCCAGCCATATCAAGCTGCAAAAGCCATGTGCTGTTAGGTGCTTTTAAACTTAGAGTTGACATGCTGTCAACAGGTAACAAGGTAGGCTTGCCATCAGGCTAATAGCACCTGTGTATAGAGCATTTGCAGCAGAAGAAAATCTGGGAAAAATTCCTTTGGGAGGAAGGGCGGGATATAAATTCACTCACTCAATAAACCTGAATGTGAATTAAGTTCCTTTTGCAGAGGAACATGGGGCAAGGTTCAGTTCAGTTTAACTTTAATTTTAGTGCAATAATTTATGAACATATAAGGGTTTCATTAAATTAAGCTCTGTGGCCATTGCACTGACAATTTTTACTGATCTTAAAAGTTGGATTGCTGTTTAAGTTTAAGTATCACAATTATTGGGAAGAATAAATATAGCAAGTGCTTATGTTACACTATATGTGTGTTTTGATATTTTCTCAGCCTTCTTAAGTATATTTTATACTTTAGCAGAGCAGAATTCTGTAGAATTCAGAGGGCTGGGGGGAAATGCTATGGATCAGGCATAGGCAAACACAGCCCTCCAGATGTTTTGGGACTATAACTCCCATCATCCCTGACCACTGATCCTGTTGGTTAGGGATGATGGGACTTGCAGTCCCAAAAACATCTGGAGGGCCGAGTTTGCCTATGCCTGCTATGGACGTTGTGAACTGAACTGTGAATTAGTTCCTTTTTGGAAGGGATGTACTTGAGCTGAAATTAATGTTACTGGCCTGCTGGTGACTGGAAGATCTCTGTCCTCCCTCTGTATTTCTATGATGAGTGTGTGCAAAAGCCCATTTGGATCTGTACTGTGCTCAGAAAAGAGATATCCACCATTCAGCCAACAGCCCACTTCCTTGTGGGCATAGAATTTGATGCATTCACCTCCAATGCTTCCTATGGCTACCAGGCAAGTGCTCAAATGCCTAAGGGAGCAACCACCTTTCTTTCTATACAATGTCTTGCAAAGGTATCATGGATATTGTATGGGGTAAGATGCATGCCCCTACAGGGAACTGGGAGCAGTCATCTTGTTCTCTATGCAATCTCCAGGAAGGGGCTGCATTTTCAACCAGGTATTTTACTACATATAGTAGATCCTGAAGCTGAGGCTCCAATACTTTGGCCACCTCATGAGAAGAGGTGGAAAAGACCCTGATGTTGGGAAAGATTGAGGGCCCTAGGAGAAGGGGACGACAGAGGACGAGATGGTGGGACAGTGTTCTCTAAGCTACAAACATGAGTCTGACCAAACTGCGGGAGGCAGTGGAGGACAGAGGTGCCTGGCGTGCTCTGGTCCATGGGGTCACGAAGAGTCGGACACGACTAAACAACAACAACAACAACATTTTACTACATGGCACTAGTGTTCTACATGGCACTGGTGTTCTAAGCAGCCGTAAAATGTTAGAGAAAGAAAATGGCAGTCCTTGGTCTACCTTTCAAGCACTTAAAAAAAACACTGCATTGATTTGTGGGATTTTTCATTATCAACAAATCTGCCCGCAAAAAAGGACAACATGGAACTTGTTTTGCATTGGAACTAAGTTAATCCACTCTTTCCTAGCAATACATTTTCCTACAATTCTAAAATCAATCTCTTAAAATCTACTGCAACCACTAAAACCTAGTCACGTCTCTTTCCTTACTTTATTAAACTAAATCAAATATTCTTTTATAAACATTAAGGTTGGAAAAATTACGCAAGGCAATCTTGCTTCCCCCCACCCTCAAATTACACTAAAGTGCCTTTGGACCCACATATTATCTGCTCCAATAGACAGCTGAAGATCTCTAACATAACTCAGCAATCACTTTTACATGGAATTCAGCCTAAAATAATGGAAACATGTTGCTGGAAGTGGCCTGTAGTCCAATTCCCTTAACTGAGGAAAGATTCACTAGAACTAAACAGTCACTGACAGATCATTTTTTCCAGTTTCTTCTCTTACCCTGTGGCTCAATTTGTTTACAACACCCTCTCATTTCACTCTCGGCACCTAATGATTTAAGCCCCCAGAAACCCTAGTTGTTTTCACTTACTGATCATAACAGAAACGGTATTCACATTAGGGTTGAAAGAGCAGCGGCCCTTCCCAGATTCACATTTGGAATCGATCTTGAAAACTTGCTCCTGTAACAGAGAAATAACATGCAATTGGTAAGGAACAGTTGAAGGTTAATTTTAAAATGCCTGGCTTGGGTGGTGTACTGTGTGGAAAAGCGGTTAACGACTACCATAAGACCTGCAAAAATAGTGCCTGAAACAACAACAGGTCTTGTGGCATCTTAAAGGCTAAAACATTTATTGCAGCATACAGCAACCCCTGTGCAATTGGTGCTTGTTATCCTGAATTTTCATTTGTTTCCTTGGCTATAGCTGTATATTGCACCAAAATGAAAGAAGGAATGGTTCTCCACTTTTCTGTGGAATTTTGCCTGATCTAACAGACCTCTTCATTTAGGTCCACTTTCAGTTAAGAATGGACAACTAAGCTTATTTCCGTTCTGTTTCAGTTTCAAATGCATCCGTTAGTAAGTCCATCCCATCCTGTTTTCTGTTTATATATTTTTAACTACATGAAAAATCCACACTTTTCCTTAAAATATACACTTTGTATGCTTTTCATTCACTTTTACATGCATTTCCTCCATAAAATTAATTCAGTTTGCTTTAAAATGTGGACCAAATGAAATTATCAGTCACACACAACCATTTATTTATTTGGATAGATGAAACACTTATTTTCCAGATTCCCAGACTGAGATTCCTCAGTCTTCAGTACTAAGAGCTGTTCCACAGCCAGGCTCCCATTCCATTTCACAGAGTGACTGTGTTTCACAATCTCCACATGTTCTGCACAGTCATGTGACTATAGGCAAGGGCTGGAGAGCCTATGGCCCTTCAGAGCCTCTCAGACTCCAGCTCCTATCATCCCACACTACTGGCCATCTTGGCTGCACCTGATGGGAGTTGTAGTCCAACAACATAGGGGCAATGGTGATGATGATATCAAAGGTCTAAGAAAAACTAGAGCTTGGAACCCAGAAAGACTTGGATTGGAAGACAGCATTGGTACCCAGCCTGAATTCTGTCAGCCTGGTTCGAACTTTACAGCACAGGCTAGCTCTGTGAGTCCTAAAATGATATACTGCCAGTAAAAGTCTATTGGGGAGTCTTGTAGGAAGCTGTGAAAGTCAATGACCACCCTAGCAATCAATCATTTATGTGTTCCCTGCAGGCAACACCGTTGTAAACACAGCAAATGCACCTGCAACTGGAGCTGAATCCTTGGTCACAATAATGTGATATGAATGAGGCAAAAATAATAAGGCCTAGCCTTCTCTAGCCCACCTTTGATGGTTAGATGTTCAGTGCCAGCTGCCATGCAGAGACATGTGTTATAGCTAGGAATGGAAGGATCTGCCATTTTTTTATTCTCCCCTTTCTCAGTTTCCCAACACAGCTCTCCACATTTGGCAGCAATTTGTGTGTGTGTTTTTTTAATCTCCATGAAAATACAGCAGCATTTTAGTGTAAATTTCCCCAAAGAAACACATATTTATATGCAGTTTTCACAAACGTACACATTTTTGTAAACATTTTTTCTTAATATAATGAACTTTTGTCTGCTATTTTCTGCTAAAGGCTTTCTTTTTGTGCACCCTTTCCCCTGGGACATGTGTTTTGCAAACTTTGGTTGGAAAGCTGCATCACAAAAATTTGGATAAGTGCGAAGGGTACCAATGCATTTTGTTTTGGAAAATGCACATTTGATCAATTCGGCTTTCCGTGTATATTGCATCAAATTGCTTCCCCATCCCTAGTTATGGCAAGGTGGGCTCTCAGTCCAGTTTCATGCAGGTGATGAAGGGAGGTGGGTAGTAGAAAGAGGAAGCGGGTGAAAAGGGGTGACAGAGAGAGAAAAGGGGTGTGGGAGAAAGAGAGAGAAAAGGAAGGGGCTCTGCCCATTGCTGGCTCTGATCCTGCCATTGCTGGCATGTCCCTTCCCCAGATAGATCATCCTCAAGGAAAAGGTGGCCTTCAATGGAAAAAAGGTTGCCAGTGTTTAGGAGAGATTCTAGCTCTGCAGATAAAGCAAAAGAAATTGCTTTTCAGCCTCTTTTTCTTTCTCTCCCTTTTCACCTGGAAAAACAGCCTTTCACCTATGAAAAACGATGGCATGACTTGCTGATAAGCAGTGCAATTTTCTCACCAGTCTTGCTAAAAATAAATCCCCTCTGTTCTGCTAATTAGGCCCATACATGCAAGGGGGGGGGGGGCTCACATTAAACCCTGATACTCCAAGCGGCTTTGCTGTTGTTGGCCGTCACCATCCCAGCAAGGAAAGTGGAAGGCAAGTCAGTCCAGTGCCTAACAGACTCCAGACGTCTGAGGCAGCAGTTTATTTAATCAATGGATCACAGGCATGCAGCTGAGGAGACAGGCGCGCTGAAGCCCAATTCCAGTACGCTCAAGATGCGTATCTATATTTTGCCACTTAAGAGCACCACTATTTCCTCCTCACTGCGAAATCTTGCATTTGATTGTAAATTAATTACGCCAACAAAAAGTGTCTGCTGGGTGCAAGCTTGTTGAAGAATAAATTGAAGGTTCCTTTAAAAATGGGGCAAGATTCCTCTCACATTGGTTTCAAGCTGTGATGGGGAGGGAGAAAGCAATGCCTTTCGTCACCCAGTGCAAAGCGCCCCTCCGTCTTTTCGGCAATTTTTAACAGAGATGTTGAGAAAGGGGTGAAAGTATTTGCAGCCATGGGGGGGGGGGGAGCTCACCGCTCAGTGCCAAAGTAACTGGGCAAGTCTTGCTGCATCACACTGTGCTGCTGACAAAAAGAGGGGCACTCAAACAACCGCAGAGCAGCACTAGGCAGTCTTCCAACCAGCCAACTCACACACCACTACTGGACTGGCATACTTACCTCTGCCCTTCGCCCTCTGTTGAGATACGCACACACAGGGCTAAACGCGCCACTTCCACAAACATATAAATGGGTGCGGTTGAATGTCTGTATCACACGGACAAAGTTGCCGCAACCGTGCTGCAGAGGGAACAAGAAAACAAACAAAAGGGGGGTGTAAATCTGCTCCCAGAGGTGACCGATTTCTACTGGGACCATAGGAGCCAACTCCCAGGGGCTGTGGGGGCTGAAGCCCCCACAAAAAATATTTGAGGGGGCTGGGCCCCCACATAGTCGATGGGCATTCCCATTCAGATGGTGTGCATGTGCTGCATCATGTGATCGATTATGCGGGGTGGTGCTGACCTGGGCCCCTCACAATGTTTTATTCAAGTTGGCAGCCCTGACTGGGACTGATGGGTGAAACATTTGGGAGCCCACCAGCAGGTGGAGCCAGAGCCAATGGCAGACAGAGCCAACTAACTCTAATTTTTCCCCTGTCCTCCTCCCTGCTGAATTCCACAAGTGGCATCACTGGGAATTCCTCCATAAAGGAGAAATGACTGCTAACAATACTGCAAGCTTTGAATGGGCTTCTACATTAGGAGCCATCAGGACTGGCATTCATTCCCCTGGCTCCTGAAGACACATCAGTTTAGACAAGCATTCCCCTGAACTCAGACTTCCTGTTCTGGTTGTTTTAATCAGTTTGTAACTGTTTTAAATTATGCTCTTTAAGTGGCTTGTTTTATTATAGATTTTCATTATGGATTTTCAAATGACTTAATGGAATTGTTTTATTGTGTGTTTACATTGTGTATGTATTGCATACTTGATTTGATACTTATAAACTGCTTAGAAGTCATTTTGGCATGTAAGCAGTATATTACTTAGTTAATTGATAGTATTGATAATAATTACATTAAGAGGCCGTTGGTGTTCTTCCCTTTGGCTTTTTTATTTTTTAAAAAACCTTCCAGCTAGTCTCTGTTGCTCCTCAACATCTCATGCATCTTGGAATGTCCACAGACAAATGTCCATTAGGACATCTTCTATGGGTATTCTGTGAAGAATGGAAGGCCGAAGGCTGCCTGGAGAACACCAAAGGGTGGTGAGGATCTTATTTTAAGTTAAAAGAAAGCTTTAACTTTACAACTTGTTAAAAACAACATATCCACTGTTCTTTGGCACCCTGCTGCCAGTCTCCCTGCTAGATGCACATAGCATCCTCTTTGTAGAAGTGGAACTTAGCCTCCCAGAAGTTTGCATCATTGACCCTAGTGGTTCCTTCTTACTTCTGGGAAAGTGTGTACAGAAATGCAGCCTAAGTCTCATGCAAAATTCAGCCACGTATTGCTCTCCCTTGAATACTGACTTCATTAATGACATACAGCATACCACTAGATTGGAATAAACATTCTTAATATATAAAGTACATTGCATTTTGCACTGTATGGGGAAATACTGGAGCTTGGTATGTATGATGTATTAGACTGTTATAGTCATCTGGGAAAGGAAGCAGACACCATGCTAACATTTTCAACGCTAATTTAATTAAACAGAAATCACTTGAATCCATTACTGGTGACATTTTAATGGAAAATGCTACGCTCCATTATGCTCTGCAGATCCAATATTTTCTTCCCTTGAGAAATATGGATCAAGATAAGATCAAAATTGAAAAACTATTTGCCGTATACTCCTTTTAATTACAAGTCCACAACCATATGAATCCTTATTAGAACATAGCATAATATGCTATTATTTAATTATGATTAGAAATTGTGCACCTTATTCAAATGCTGGTGGAAAAAAAGACCTGATACAACACCTAGATATATTCAGTGGATCAACATAGAAGCCCTTTCTGAGCTGCCACCTAGATGCATCACAAACAATTATTTATTTGGGAGCTAGAAAACTTTGACCAATGAAGTGGAATTTATTTATTACTATTTCTAAGTAATAAATAAGATGCGGGTGGCGCTGTGGTCTAAACGACTGAGCCTAGGGCTTGCTGATCAGAAGGCTGGCAGTTCAAATCCCCGTGATGGGGTGAGCTCCCATTTCTCGGTCCCAACTCCTGCCAAAATAGCAGTCTGAAAGCACGTCAAAGTGTAAGTAGATAAATAGGTACCACCCCGGTGGGAAGGTAAACGGCGTTTCCGTGCGCTGCTCTGGTTCGCCAGAAGCGGCTTAGTCATGCTGGCCACATGACCCGGAAGCTGTCTGAGGACAAACACCGGTTCCCTCAGCCAGTAAAGCGAGATGAGCGCCGCAACCCCAGAGTCATCCGCGACTGGACCTAAACAGTCAGGAGTCCCTTACCCTTTACCTATTTCTAAGTCCACCCTTTAGCACCAAAAGGTGCTAAATATGAAATAAGAAATCAACAATCAAATCCATGGAAAACTGTATCAACAGATAAAATATGTTGGACCACTCCAAAAGGCATAGTAAAAGACTATGAGAGGGATCAAAAGTCCCATTCAGTCAAGAACTTCAAATGTCTTCCCAGGTGGACAAGTTTTAGTAGTCATCTAAAGACAGCTGTGATTGCTGCTGTAGATTTGCAACTTCATGGCCCCTGTTCTCCATTTATATATTGACATATTTATTTAAATTATTAATTAAATTTGTAAACCACCCTTCATCCAAAGATCCCTGGGTATTTCACAACAGAAAGATAGAAAATGGGAATACAAAATACACAATGAAACAAAAGCAAACCAATAATTCCCCTCTTACAAACACATTTTAAAAGCCATAGAATGTGAACCGGCAGAATGCCTGGCTGAAGAGAAACATTTTCACCTGGTGCCTAAGGATCTGTAATGAAGGGACCAGGTGAGCCTCCCTAGGGAGAGCATTCCACAGATGGGGAGCCACTGCATAATTTTTAATTCATTTAATAAAATCTTTGTACCACTCCATCATCAAAACCTATGAGATCTACTTACAATATAAAATAAATTAAAATTGCCGATATTTAAAACTGTTAGCCTATTTCCTCACTGAAAAATGTATACAAAACCAAAAGTTTCAAAATATACATTATAAAATAAGATAATGCTTAAAAATCCATGTCAAATTTACATGCCTGGGTAGGCTTGCTTGAACAAAGAAGTTTTTGGCAAGTGCTGAAAACAGCACCGTGAAGATGCCTGCCTAATATCAATGGGCAGGGAGTTATTTTCTTAGGGTTCCTTATCTTTGAGCCAGACGGCCTCCTTAGAGTTTTCTTTGTCTCTCAAATAGAGGACAGCTTCAGATGGAGAACTGCCCTCTGTAAAACTGGCCACCCTACTTGAACTTGGCACACTGAAATCATTTGCTGTTATAGCTGCTACTAACATAATTTCCAAGTGCCTTTTCCCAAGTATTGCCTGAGGTGATGTACAAGTTATTAAGCTCGTAACAATTAAAGGAGTGGTTTGTTCGTTTGAGCAAGAATCACTCTGAGATTTGGAAGAGGTAATTGGCTCAGCAGATGGTTCTCGTGCAGGATTCTTGCTTTGACTCCAGTAACAGTCGTGCCACATTTACCTGCGTTAAGGAAGTTCTGCTTTTTTTCAGGCATCTGTTCAAAATGTTGCTTTATAAAACCAATAAAAGAGTCTTTATGATCAAGCAGTAAGTGCTGTTGGAATGTGCAGGGATTATTATTTTTTTCCATACAAAAGGCTGCCTGTACCATCTGGGAGTCTGTCCAGGCACTTCCATTAGCATTAGCTCAACAGCCTGCAATATATTCTCTAGGAGATACGCAGAGCAAGCCTTATTAATGATATCCATCACTAGCAACAAGGTAAGCAAGAAATGGGTTTCCTTTTTTAAAAGGGGGGAAAAATATGTCCTGAACATAAGCAATGTGCTCATTTTTCCAGACATCAGGAGGGAGATCCAGGCTGTGTCAATATCTTGCTTGTTTCAGAATTTTGCATGACTGTTTCTGCCTGCAGAGTATTCAATGAAAACACGCCTCTTCCGCTCTGCTTTTGGCTGCACCCAAGGCGCTCTTTCTCGGTAGCCAAACATTTAATTAAAAAAGGAGGGGGGAATACTTACTGTAGGATCTTTGCCAGCCATTTTGCACTCATCAACTTTGGTTGTTGATGCTGGCCAGAATATCTGTGTGGAAAGAAAATACATACATATACAAATATGAATTACATAATATTCAATGCACATTTAAAGGGGTTGGGGAAATTTATCATTTCCACCTTGTTCAAACTACCACACTGCCTGCAAGGCATGCCTAAACTCGCAAGATCAATATTTTCACAGACCTGTGTTGCTGGGGAAAGCATTTTATCCAAGTTTTTCTTGCTCAGAGAAACTCTGAGGAAGCAAGCCTCCCACAAAGTTGGGTTAGTTCAGTAACAACTGATAAAATGCATCCCAAATAGATCGTTTCAGTTACAAGCTGGTGTACGTTACAGCCTTCCAGAAAGTAGAACTTTTGAAGTTTATGGGTTTGTCATTTGAAGCTGGTGCAGGTCTTGCAAATCTGTGCCACGAGGAAGACATCTATTGGGCAGATGACTGCCCTAACATTTGTTAACCTGAGTGCAGCAAGGATGAAGGAATCCCAAATTGTAGCATGGGGCCAGTTCACATCCCCACCCAAATATGAATTGTTGTTTGGGGTGGAAGGGTGGCACACACCTTCCCCACCACCTGCATAAGGCACCATGTGACCTGGGTACCTTTCCCCATCAGTCAAGGGTTGGGTGAAAATGTGTGAATGAAAACTGTGCATGCAAGTTTTGGCTTCTCATTTCTTGCTCTGTAACATAGTATCCACTGAGACAATGGAATGAAATTTGGCACACACATTCAGAACACAACCTCTCCATTTCAAGATGTATAAGCTCACATAGTGCCTCTAAGGTCCTTCCGCCGTAGGTCAATGGGATTGTTCTAGCTGGGTAAGTGAATGAACCAGTCTATCGCAAGCCTCCTCGGGTGTAGGAAAGATTGTGGACTGTGCCACTCAATTTCACCTATCAACAAAATCTGAAGTAGATTGGAAGATCCTTCCGAGTTGAAACGACTGCAGGGATTTCAAGGGAAACTAACAAGAATTTTTATCAGGTCTCTGTGGAGTTTTTCAGAATGTAGAAAGAAGCTATATCTTGGTTCCAACAAATGTGACCTAAAGCACAAAAGCTGTGCCCAGTCAAAGTTCTGCCTCATCAGAACATTCTGCCTAGCCAAAACAGCTGTGGGGAAGTCAAAGTAGTGATTAGAACTAGGTCAGGATATCTATGCTCTGCAGCATAAAAATGTTAATCAAATAAAATGAGAGAGAAAAACTAGATGGGTTGGCAAGAACCTTTACGGCAGTGATGGCTGAACTCAGTCCTCCAACTGTTTTGGGACTACAATTCCCATCATCCCTGACCACTGGTCCTGTTAGCTAGGGATGATGGGAGTTGTAGTCCAAAAACAGCTGGAAGGCCAAGTTTGGCCATCACTGCTTTAAGGGTTTTCAGATCAAGCACCCTTCAAAAGCACAAAGCTCACAAGTATGACCTGCAACAAAATGTCACATGTGGAGTGCTGCTGTTAGGATTCTAGCCACTCCATTTCACCCCCCAGCGGCCATTTTCTGTGCTCCCCACCCCTTTCATCAGTTGAGACCTGTGTTCAAAATACCCCAGGCGCCAGGCACGTTTTGAGACTGGAGCGGGTCCAATTGCGACCATGTGGAGTTCTCTGGATGCCACGTTGGTGATGGACATCTCCATCTGGCTGGCACAAGGTTCACCTCCCTCCTCCGTTAATCTCTACAACGACCCTGTGAGGTAAGTTAAGAGGCTGTGACTGGCCCAAGCTAGATGGGAGTTACCTCCTATGTGTGATGTGCAAATGCCGTTTTGGCTACAGCATGTATGTCAGAAATAGAGGGAATGATGGTGTCTCTTCTATTTATCTCTCCAACTGCAATGGGGACCTTCTGCCCATATCACACTGACTGTAAGGATGTGTTTTGGGTGTTCTGTTTCCTGCCTTTTAAGATAGTCATGAAAAGTAAGTTGATTGAAGCAATGGAACAGCTTGGACCTCCCTTGAAAATGCCTAGACCTGGGGGGAAGCTGACCTCCCACATTGAGAATCCCAGAAAAATATAAAGCTGCCCTCTGACCTTTGGTGTTGTTAGGAGTGGAAGCGAAGGCAAATGAGAATAATCAGACATAAATATGTTTAAAATGATTGCACAAAGTTTGGTTGTTGTTATTGTTGTTTTTAACATGGACGCTGCTCATTTCTTTCAAAGTCTAGATCAACTGTGTGCAAAAATGCTTCAAAATGAGGCTGATGTCGAAGAGTTTCTTTTTGGATGCCAAAGTATAACACAGGGTGTCACATAAGAAAATATGCTCCACTAAGCTTCCAGCTGAACTGAGCCCAAGAGCTTTAGTTAATTTCTAGATAAACATCTCAGCTTCAGAAGAATCCTCAAGCAGCACACACCCAGAATCAGAACAATGGAGGGTTCATCTCTCTAGCAGGCTCCAGTTTAGACAAGCAGTGGAGAAAAATATATTTCCAAGCAGTCAGAAGGCAAACTCTTCATGTCATGCACATGATAACGCTTGCATTTGAAGAAAGAAAGAAAGAAAGAAAGAAAGAAAGAAAGAAAGAAGAAAGAAAGAAAGGTTGTAAAAACGGCTTTTTGTATTTTATCTTATGGTACGCCACTTTGATAACCACTGGCTGTGAACTAGATTATAAATTTGTAAAGCAAATAAGTAGTAAATAATAATAATCCATTGTCATAAGCAGCATGACATGTCTGCTGTAGAATGCAGCAACATCTGGAGGTTCTCCACACCTGCTATAGAAGGAGACCTTAAAAATGCTTTTTTGAGGGTTCCATGTGCTTTCTCAGCAATCTTTATACCAAAATCTGTACTTGATCAGGCTGATACTAAAAGGACAATGTCTGCATTTCCCAATAAGTTACATGGGACTTGCTTCCAAGTAAATAGCTATTAGGCAGCCTGATTTGTCTAATGCACCTAATACTCTACCAGTGAGTTAATAGTTGTGAGATGTGGATGAGAGACTTTGCATCTCCCACTCTTAGACAGCTTTGGGTGATATTTCCATTGATATTTATCAAATTGGATTGGATTGATCTTTATTACGGCCATTGGCCCGTCACACGAGTTTCCCATACCAACATAATGTACTATCAAATTCAATTTTAATATTTTCTTCACTATCATGTATTTTATCCCTCAGAATGGTAGATTTTTATTATTGTTGTTGTTATTTATTTATTTCAGAAGAAGAAAAAGATGACAACCGTTACCCTGAAGCTTGAAATCTAAAAAGACATGACACAAAGGGGGAAAAGAGAGGAAGGGGAAAGGAAAAATGAAATCTATGGCCTTGGTTGTAAAGAACACCAAGTAAAGAACAGTCAGATAGGATGTGAAAACAGACAAAAGAGTAGCACAGTTTCCATGAATAATGAGCAAGTGTCAGTTCTTTATGACTGTTGGACATATTCCAGTGTGCAGCAGTCTAATGTCTGGTGATGGTATACCCTGCCAATAATATACGGAGCTACAGCTTCATTTACTGTGTCTATAAAGTTGGGTAGCAATTATCTGGATTCCGGTTCACTCTGTGATGTTTCAGCAAATTCTGCTCAGACAATTCCACATAAAATAAATCCCTAATTTCTTTAATCGATTTAGCACTGTCAGTGTGACAACATTTTTTCCACTGAGATGTTAAAGGGGGATTAGTGAGTGCAGTAAGGACCTGCATGTGGTTGTTCCAAAATCCAGATACTAGGATACAGCTTCAAGCAACACATGTTAACGTAGGAGACTGAATAAAGGAGCCAAGCAGCATATTATAGAAAGAATATTTCTGTGCTTAGGAAGTCAGGAAACTGCTCATAATTGCTAACACTGTCTTTAAAAGTCAAGACTCCTCTTTGTTCCATGGGATTAGTTTGAGTGCTGTACCAAAGCATTTCTTGAAAATTTTCCTCCCCTGCTAAATACATTTCTATTTTTCTGCTATATTTTCAGGGAAGCATCAGAGTTTCTTTATAATCATAGGGGATGTAGATTGTGGGAATTTAAAGATGCCTCTTTAAAATGTTGCTGGCATGTCCATTAATGTCATTTCCGTCAGGCGTCCTCATTGCTAGATAACACATGTTGATGAATTTGTTTGCAGCTAACTTGTAATATGTGCAATCAGATCCACCGTGGGGTTAAACACTGTTAATTAAAAGTAAAGAAAGTAAAGAAAACTCTACTGCCAGCTTACTAACACTCCCTGCCTCAGAAGCCAGGGCAGGACATGGTATTGCAGAGCAAATAAATATAGTGTGATGCAAAGACATGGAACGCGGGTGCCGCTGTGGTCTAAACCACTGAGCCTAGGGCTTGCCGATCGGAAGGTCGGCGGTTCATAGAATCATAGAGTTGGAAGAGACCACAAGGGCCATCGAGTCCAACCCCCTGCCAAGCAGGAAACACCATCAGAGCACTCCTGACATATGGTTGTCAAGCCTCTGCTTAAAAACCTCCAAAGAAGGAGACTCCACCACACTCCTTGGCAGCAAATTCCACTGTCAAACAGCTCTTACTGTCAGGAGGTTCTTCCTAATGTTTAGGTGGAATCTTCTTTCTTGTAGTTTGGATCCATTGCTCCATGTCCGCTTCTCTGGAGCAGCAGAAAACATCATTTCTCCCTCCTCTATGTGACATCCTTTTATATATTTGAACATGGCTATCATATCACCCCTTAACCTCCTCTTCTCCAGGCTAAACATGCCCAGCTCCCTTAGCCGTTCCTCATAAGGCATCGTTTCCAGGCCTTTGACCATTTTGGTTGCCCTCCTCTGGACACGTTCCAGTTTGTCACTGTCCTTCTTGAACTGTGGTACTATTCCGCTGTATAGTAAACTTCAGAAGAGCATGATCACTGGCGCCTAATGATCCTTCCACTTCTACCCCACTAACCAGGTCATCAACATTGGTTAGGACCAGATCTAAAATAGCTGTTCCTCTTGTTGCTTCTCCCACTTTCTGGACAATGAAGTTGTCTGCAAGGCCAGTGAGGAATCTGTTTGACCTTATGCTCTTGGCTGAGTTTGACATCCAACAAATATCCGGGTAATTGAAGTCCCCCATTACTACTATCTCCCTTCCTTTTGCATGCTTGGCCATCTGTTCCAGGAAGGCATCATCTATGTCCTCCGTTTGGCTTGGGGATCTATAGTAAACTCCCACAATGAGGTCACTGTTATTCTTCTCTCCCTTAATTTTGACCCAAATGCTCTCACTTTGGCTTTGTGGTTCTAAATCTTGGATCTCTTCACAGGTATACACATCCCTGACATATAACGCCACTCCTCCTCCTTTCTTGTCTGGTCTGTTTCTCTGAAATAGATTGTATCCCTCCATTATTACATTCCAATCATGGGATTTATCCCACCAGGTTTCAGTGATTCCTATTATGTCATATTTAGTTTGCTGTACCAAGAGCTCAAGCTCATCTTGTTTATTTCCCATGCTTTGCGCATTAGTGTACAGACATTGAAGTCCATTAATCATTCCCCCGTGTCTCTTATTTAAGGATTTTTTCCTCCCACCACTAGGTCTGCATGCCCTTTGCTCCATTCGGATGGGGTGAGCTCCCTGCTCCTGTCAACCTAGCAGTTCGAAAGCACATCAAAGTGCAAGTAGATAAATAGGTACCACTCCGGCGGGAAGGTAAACGGCATTTCCATGCGCTGCTCTTGTTTTGCCAGAAGCGGCTTAGTCATGCTGGCCACATGACCTGGAAAAACTGCCTGGAGACAAACGTTGGCTCCCTCGGCCAGTAAAGCAAGATGAGCGCTGCAACCCCAGAGTCTTTCGCAACTGGATTTATCTGTCAGGGGTCCTTTACGTTTTTTTAATGCAAAGACAAAAGCCTTTAGCAGCGTGCAGCAGGGACTATTTTGGCAGCAATTATTGGTGTGGGAATAGGGTATTGTAAATACACAAATGTGTCCCTGTTTTGCATCTGTGAAATAAGGAAGAGTATTTTCTCTGCTGCCTATGATATGATTTCGTAGCCCAGTGAAGAGCAGTAGGAAAAAGACCCGGCATCTTCACAAACTGCTCTCAGGATGCAAGCCACCTGGGATGATCCATCTCCTGCTGCCTGTCCTAGGACTCCTTTTAAATTAGCTATAACCATGTTGTTAACTCTCCATCACTGATACTCTGGTACTGAGCAGTTTCCAGTCGCCATCTGTGTTTTGCCTTAAATGTTCCTGACATTGTTATTTTAGAACAAGGGTGGAAGATAGCCACCATCAAAAAGCATGGCAGCCACTATACTATTGAGTTCACATCTGTTTGGAGTCTGCCAGTCATTTTCCTACTCACGGCAAGATAAGCGGAGGTAAAAGAAGTACCAACTTTGTTTGGAAAGGTGGAGAACGTGCATTCACAGGTTGTACTTGGAAGAACTGGAGAGCAAGTTTCCAGGGAGGAATTGCACATCCCCAGGGGGAAAACTGCAATTAAGAGGCCATGTGCTTTTGCCTCCTACAAGTTTCATGGACCGGTTGGACACAGAAGAACGGTGGGAGGAACCAGCGGGGGAACCACCAAGGTCCAGGGGCTTTTTGTGTAGGAAGTAATGGTGGTGAGGTGATGAGTGGTCAGAGGAGAAGACTGGGAGGAGGTGTCAGAAGCTGAAGAGGTAACAGGGCTTAGTGATCTGGGTGAGTTTGTGGCATGGAGCAATCCAGAATCAGAGGCAGAAGCAGGGGAGGAGAGCAAGAGGCAAAGATGAGTCAGGCTAGTGAAGAGGAATGGGTGTCTCCCCCTCCTTCTGAGAAAACCTCCCCACCCCCCTGGTCTACCAGAACCAGAAGAGGCATGAAGAGGGTGAAGGATAGGTTGACTTCATGCAGGTGCAGTCTCTGATTGCTTGGGGAAAACACTCAAGATGAGGGGACTTTCAGTCTCAGCAACTGATCCATTATCTGCTGTGCTCATTAGGTGTGTCCACCAAGTCTGTACGAATGAGATTCTTGCTAATAAAGAGTTAACTCCAACTTGCACAGTGTGATTTACTGCAGGCTCACTCTTTTCCCAGATGCAGCTGAGCTTTTCAAAGCAGCATTCTGAGAAGCCAGTAGACATGTTTACTTGCTAGCTTACCTAAAGAGCTCCTTTAATGAGGTGCACTTGGGGGGGAAATACTGCTGCTGAGAGACATCCTTACACAGGGATCCTCCTGCTCTTAAAGGCTTTCACCCTCCACACTCAGCAGCAGTTTCTCTGGCCATGGCTTGTCTTCACCAGCTGCTACTTCATCCCTTTTCCCCAGACTAGGGTCCTTTTTTGTTGTTTCGAAGATGGAACAAGGTAGCAGTCAGTGGTCAGGTATGAGTAGACTTAAGGAGATGAACCGGCTGAGGGTAGGCTGTCCTCACCTGGATCCTGCTTATAATAATCTGAGTGTTCACATAGCCAGCGACCCCTACTTCTAATTTTCGACCCATCACTGGACAATTTGTCAAAAGCACTGGTTGTAAGTCTAGGTTCACTAAAATAATAATACCCTAAATACCAGGCAAACATATTGTCCAGCTTTGGACAGAAGCTCCCTCTCCAGAGTGGATCAAGCCTACTAAACTGCAGACAAATGGGTCCAGGGGCTTCTTGTGCTGGAAGTCAAAGGGATTCGTTTTCCTCCACAATGCCAAATGAGGGGGCGGGGCGGGGAATGAGGCTCTGTCTTAAATATGCTGTTTGAACATATTGTTCTGCTAATGTACAAGCAGCAACTGTTCTGAGCAGGCGTGGAGCTGGCATGTTGCCTGACAATGGGATAATGATGAAACACCCTCCTTCCTCTTTTCTTTGAAAGCAGAAGCATGCAGTAAAACGATCCCAGCTTCCCAAAGCGCTTTGTGGACTTACACTCAGAGGGTCCTGGCTTATATTATTGATATTCAAAGACAGAATGTGATCTTTGCTGCCAACGTAGATGCGGTCCTGATCTTCATCCATCACCAATATCCTGTAGTCTAAGGGGTGGTGGGAAAGAGCATAAAACTGAGCGGTCTTCGTTTCCTGCAGTTCTGCGAAAGAAAGAGGAAGCATAGCTTAATAGATGCATTCATTGGCTTCCCTTGCTTGTATAACCGCATCTTGATAAAAGATGTAGCGTGCCAATAAAAATGCAGATTTAGCTGTACCCTCAGCAACTTAAGAATTTAAATGCATCATTCTTAGACTGAAGTAAGGCATCTGAAATAGCCTTATTCATTCATCCAAATGTTGTCTTAATTGAAATTAATATTTACAGCTGTGCCTTCTAAAGCACATCATATATCAAATTAATCAATGAGAACTTTGCATATTATGGCCCACAGAAATAAACTTCATCTAACATAAATAAGATATAGATTAGCTAGAATCAATTGAGGCTTATTTTCTGGGGAACTATTATGTCACAAAGAAATGTTGTCCCCAGTCTCTTAACAGCCCAACCCTGCGCATATCTACTCAAAGGTAAGTTCCACTGACTTCTCTGGAACTTGCTCCAAGATAAATATGTACAGGATTGCAGTATAAACTGGTTTTAACTCTTTCATGTATAACTTTTTTTCAATTTTAAAAGTGCCTGACTTTCTTAAAAGGAACAAACACACGCACGCACGCACGCGCACGCACACACACACACACACACACACACAAAGAGAGAGTTGTTTGTGTGTGTGTAGAGACATTTATGAGCTATGTTCTTATTTTCTTGCTAACTAGGAATCACATTCAGATTGTCTCACTTTGCACACCATCGGGCTGCTACAACTCAACATTATGAATATTGCTAGAGGACAACTGCTGGCATCAAATATAGCTTTAGTGCTTCAAAATAAGCCACCAGCATTTTAGTGTGTATTTCTTCTAATAGACGCATTTTTGCAAGCAATTTTCCTTAATAGAAAGAATTTGTGCATATTATTTTCGCAAAAGCAGGCATTTTTATAGACATGCCCCCCAATATGTGCATTTTTGTGGAAATAATTTGACTGAAGCACTGCACTACAAAATTCAGAGAATTGTAATTTCAAAGGAGAGCTGTTTCTGTTCACATATTGTTTCATGCCAACCATGCAAACTGCAGCATGACAGCATCCTTAGGACAATTTGGATTAGGACAGGTGTAGGGAACCCTTTGACTTGCAGATGTGGATGAGCTACAACTCTGGTATTGGCCATCCCTGGTCATTGGCTATGTTTGCTACAGCTAATGGAAGCTGTAGTTCCAGCAACATCTGGGAAGTTAAAGGCTCTCCCCTCCTGCATTATGATTTCCAGTGGTGGTAAATTTGTGGTTGTTCATTCACACATGCCTATGTTCACCGATGAATATCCCCTATTTCCACATGAGTTCAAGTGATCAAAGTCGAAGGATCTGCTATCATTTCATTAGAAATAATATGTTCTTTTTAAAAATAATAACTTTTAGTAGTGTGTGTGTGTGTGTGTGTGTGTGTGTGTGTGATGGCCAGATCTGCAACTTTGATCTCCTGAAAAACAATCTAAGTCGCATGCCTTATGAATCTGGGAATGTCACCAAGGAAAGCATTCAAGCCTAGATGTTAAATGAGCCATTAGAAAGTAAAGCCTCTTAGCACTTTTGCAAGTAATATTTTTGCATGCCGATCAAAACAAGGCTCCAGTGTACTCCTTCAGTAAATAGCTACTGACCCTTTCTCTACAAGAGTTACCTTTGTTCTCTCTGCCTAAAAAAGGTCAATGAATAAAGTCTTGGCTGTCCTGAGGTGATTAAGTCAATACCAATGACAATCACACACTCAGAAATCTGATCTATAACAAACCAGTTACTTAGCGCTCCCATTTCTTTAAATAACAATAGATTATAAATATTTGCTCTCCAGCACACTCTGAAGCTATTATCTGAAGGCAAACTGGAGTTATACTGAGGCCAAACCATATGATGTGTGAAATATGTGGATACATGTTGATGTGGGGGGTGGGGGTGGGGTGAAATAGCAACCATCAGCGGGAGGAAACAGGTCATCAGGCTTGCACAAAGCAGGAAGTATGGGTTTAATCTTTTTGCTCCATGCCATTGTCCTCACAAATAAGCCCCATAGCTGCTTTTTACCCTAGGAAGATCTACTGGAGCCAATGGAAACATCTCTCTGGAAGCAAACAGCAGCTTGAGAGGAGGGGATTTGTGCTGGGAACTCAGTGTTGAGAAAAAGAGGGTTTTAAATAATAAACCTTCCCTACAAGGCTTGATCTTCGTCTCCCAGATGTTATTTAATTGTGTTTGTTTTCTTCAAAAAAGAACAACAAACCATCACCAACTTGGCCCATTGCCTACTGGCTTTGCCATAACACCAAGATCCACATCAACAGTTGAAAGCAGAAGATGAAATAGAAGTGGCGGACAATGAATTCTGCATTGCTCCTCAAGGTTAGCCATCTTGCCATTCTTTTTGATTTATCTGGAGTCTACATCAAGCAAGTTCACATCTGCACATTTAGAGCACAACGGTAGCTTGCATGTGTGAATGAGCCACCACAGACCTGACACCAGAGATAGCCTATTTGTATCACACACAATACTTCTCAGTGGAATTGGCTCATGCAGCCAGCTGCAAATGATCAAGTCCTGAGTGGCGGGGGATTGAGAAATCAAATGATGCACAGCCATGTGTAAACCAGACCGGTACCATACATTTCATTCTCAGTGTTATGCTTAGGCTGCTGCCACAACAGACACTGAAATAATTTGTCTATGTGTCCCTTCTCTGCATGAGGCATGCTGAACTGGAAGGCATAGGAATGACTCCCATGGCAGTGAGGATAGGTTTGCAGGCATTATCCTGCAACCAAATTTGGGCAGAAAAAAATTGAGACTTAAAAGATAAATGCCAATATAGAACAGAAGAGGGGAGATAGATGATAGATAGATAGATAGATAGATAGATGATAGATAGATGATGATAGATACAGTGGTGCCCCGCAAGACGAAATTAATTCGTTCCGCAATTTTTGTCGTCTAGCGAATTTTTCGTCTTGCGAAGCACGAAATCCCATAGGAATGCATTGAAAATCAATTAATGTGTTCCTATGGTCAAAAAAAGTCCAAACAAAGCCAAATTTGGTACAACAACAGTTTATTAACTGCTCTTTAAAGTCACACATACTGTAAAGAGCAGTTCAAAAATTGAAGGGAAAATAAATTAACTTTATAAACAAAACATGTCTTTGTTTTTAGACAAAGAAAACAAAGTCGCGAGACGTTTTCGTCTTGCGAAGCAAGCCCATAGGGGAAATTCGTCTTGCGAGGCAAATCGAAAACGGAAAAACCTTTCGTCTAGCGAGTTTTTTGTCTTGTGAGGCATTCGTCTTGCGAGGTACCACTGTAGATAGATAGATAGATAGATGATAGATGTTAGATAGATAGATAAATTCCTTTTTTTAAAAGCACGTAAGACGTAGGTCCAATTCTTATTTGATTATATTGGTCAATATTTTGCAAGTTGCTAGCTTTAATTAAAGGAGCATGTAGAAATTATGAATTTCTTTAAGGGCTCCAGTGGAACTGCAATCCAGCACACACATAAAAACCCCACACCCGTCATTTATGCAGTATCATTCAAATATAGACCCTGTAGAGAATGTGGTGACTGGCCAGGCTACCTACTGCATCCCTGTAGCTGCAAAGCAGCAGTGGCACCATCAGTTAAAAATACCCAGAAAGTTTACTGGTTAATTTTTCTAGTAAGGCTCTTTTCCATAGTGTTTGGTACCATTGGTCCATGCTTACTCCTGAAAGGTCTCTGGCTATGATGTTTCTGGCTGCTGAAAGCATACAAATCAATATGGCTAACCTGATCCAAAACACCCACCCACCCCACTCACACATGAAAACAAAGACCACCACAGCCAACCACAAATGAACAGCCACACCCTAGGCCAACCCCAACCTCTCTGACCACCAAAGGAACACAAGTGAACAGCAGAGAACCAACACTGACACAAAACCCCACATATATTAAACACTGACACAAAACCCCACATATATTAAGTAAAATAGAAGCATCACCACCCAACCCCACTCATCTTCCCCCCTCCACTTCTTTCCCCCTTTTCTTCCTAACGTCTTGACAAATGAAACCGATTTGTAAAAAATGTTACGGGGGGGGGGGAATAAGAGAGAGAGACATTGCACATACCTTTGTAAATCAAGAAAATCTTTAATTAAAAGAAAAAAAACCCAGAAAGCTCACGGTGAGGAGTCCCATTGGAGAGGGACATTTTTAGACCTTGTCCTAGTAAAGGTAAAGGTACCCCTGCCCGTACGGGCCAGTCTTGACAGACTCTAGGGTTGTGCGCCCATCTCACTCAAGAGGCCGGGGGCCAGCGCTGTCCGGAGACACTTCCGGGTCACGTGGCCAGCGTGACAAGCTGCATCTGGCGAGCCAGAGCCGCACACGGAAACGCCGTTTACCTTCCCGCCAGTAAGCGGTCCCTATTTATCTACTTGCACCCAGGGGTGCTTTCGAACTGCTAGGTTGGCAGGCGCTGGGACCGAACGACAGGAGCGCACCCCGCTGCGGGGATTCGAACCGCCAACCTCTCGATCGGCAAGCCCTAGGCGCTGAGGCTTTTACCCACAGCGCCACCCGCGTCCCTCCCTTGTCCTAGAGTTGAGCTGAAAACACTACCCTACTGGGGCTACAAAGGGGCCCATGAAAGTGAGGCACCATTTTCTGCTCAGTATTATTAGCATGATGGAAGGATGGGCTCTTCCACTGACTGATGGCGTCCCTCTGGCCTTCTAGATGTTGTTGGACTCCAACTCCCATCAGCTCCAGCCAGCCGGGCCAGAGGACCCAAAGTTTCACAGCATTTTGAGGGTCAAGGTTTCCTATTCCTGCTCTGTTGCCAATGTGCAATAACATGTGGCTCAGAGCCAAACACTCAAGGATTGATTCAAGTGAAAATCTTTTTTCTTTGGAGGATTGCATAAACTGAGCCTACATGCATCCGTGCATCCATGCCACACAATAATTTAAACACACATTGAGATATA